TCTCTCTCTCTCTCTCTCTCTCTCTCTCTCACACACACACACACACACACACACACACACACCCTGCAAATGAGATTCATGTATTTATCACCTATTTACTAGATCGCTTGAGAACCCAGATAAAGTCAATGAGGAAACCTCCAGCAGCAAATGTGTGAACTGAACCAGATAACACAGAGAAAGGCCTAGCTAGCGCTCAGCACTGACTTCCCATTGGACACTTGCTAAGCCCCTCTAACAATGGGAAGGGCTCTCATGTGTGAGGCTCCCCAAGCAGTTTTGTTTTGTCCCGTGATGGAATTCCTCTATGTAGTCCAGGCTGGCCTTTCACTCTGCCTGCCTTGCCAAGCACTTGGATTATCAGCACATGCTTCCATGCCTAGTCCTAAGTAGTCTTTTAGCCACAACTGATTCTTCATCAAAAAAGCAATATGTGACCAAGCCTGGCAGCCCAACTCTTATAATCCCATGACTCATCTGAGGGAGGAGGATCACAAGTTCTAGGCTGTTCTGGGACAGAACACAAGTTATAAATTAGCCTGGGATATAAAACACTGCATGTTTCCAGCTGCGCTCTAAGCAGAACCAAGCAAGTATGCATGCTGTGTCTGAAGGCAGATATGAATCAACATTCATGCTCCCCTCTTAATACATATATGAATACCTACCACATATACGTTTCCGGACATTGCTTTTCTTACAACTCAAAAATATATCCTGGCTACCTTAGGAGATGCTGGTCAGCAAAGCCCAAAACAATACAGGCTCTGGCTTTTTGATGGCCCACTGACACTAGACTGTAAGACCTCACTGCTGAAGACACCATACACCTCGGTTGCACGTTAGCGAAAACAAGCTGGAACTGAGCAGGAAAGCTTCCTCCCTGCCCTCTAGCTTTCATAATGATGAAAGGTGCTACGCAGGCTACTGGTAACGATACATTCCATCAAATTTGCATCGGCATCATTAATTAATCTGCCAGGCAAGATGTCCCCACGCCTGCAACAGTGGCACCATTGTTATGGGGCACCCAACTGCTCTGTGACGAGATTTGAGGCCATATGACAAGATCATATGACAACGTTCACAGCTGACACTGTAAATCCCATCAAGAAGAACCCATGGCTGGAAGGTCATAAACCTGGGAGGATGGGGACTTAACACTCGTGTTTAGCTAAATTGACATGGTGTCAGACTGTCTCCTAAACCTTCATGTTTATATCCAGACACAAGCTACTCTCAACCTTAATCAGAGAAGCTTCTCTTTGCAATGAATGGATGGTAGTGAACATGGGGACGTATGGCTGTTCAAGGTTCTGAGAAAAAGGGAGGGCCGAGTGTTCAGCCCTCAAAAGGACATTTATAGCCCTCCTTCTAACACTAAGGGAACATTATGGAAGAGCGAGAAAAGAATGTGAGAGCCACAAGGTAAGAGGGAGGACTACAAAATGCTATCTCTTGGACATGACACAGATAATATGAACACGAACTCACAGCAGCTACAGTTGTCTGAACTGGGTCCACACAGGACTGGTTCTGTCAATAGTCAGTCATCGGTGGTAGAGGGACATATGGGACTTACCCCTCCCTGATGAACTAGTGGCTATTGGTGGCTTCTGAGGGAGAAGAGTCAATGTCTTCAACTGTCACAGAACAAATTTAATTAACAACAAAAAGGATATAGTTGAGAACCCATTTTGGGGGAGGGGGAGTTGGTTTTTCAAGACAGGGTTTCTCTTTGTAGTTTTGGAGCCTGTCCTACAACTCACTCTGTAGACCAGGCTGGCCTCGAACTCAGAGATGCGCCTGCCTCCTCTATCTCCCAAGTGCTGGGATTAAAGGTGTGAGCCACCACGGCCCGGCAAGAACCCATTTCTTGTTAGCATATAGGCTTACTGCTTTGAACAACAGCACTGATGACATCTGACTTTAGGGATATACATTCAATCAGTCTCTCATTGGTACATATCTAAGTTGCTCCCAAGGTCTTGCTATGACAATAAAGCACTTGAGGCACTGAGACGACAGGAAGATCACAAGCTGGAGAGCAGCCTGGGTTACACAGCAAATTCCAGGGAAACTTAGGCTCCATTATGAGATCGGCTGCAAATCAAAACATAACAAAACAAAATCTTGACATAGAACTGCCGAGTCAGAGAGCATGTTCACTTGAACCTCCACAGAGACCGCCAGGTGCCCCTCAGAGTGCAATCATTTTCACTCCAGCCAACAGCACAAGGACTATGCCATGCCTCTACCCACACGCACAAAGGGCTGCCTTCCTGTTTTGTTTTCAAGCACAGGGGGGAAAAGAAAGGCAGAACTCTGCTCCTGTCCCATTGTCTCTTCTTGCCCCTATGAATCACCCGTGACATTACTACTTCCTGGAAATTCCACTCCTAGGTGCACAACCCAGAAGCAGAGCTTAAAATAGCATGTACATGTGAGCCAATGGTGTGCCGGAACCAGTTCATGTCGTTTCAAGAGACCTGACCACGTTCACAGCTTTTCAACTCCAAGTTCAGAGACACCATGTTGCCAGCCTGAAACCGGTCATTAGGGGAGTTGTTTACACCAAAGAAATCAGCAAATACAGGGCTAGGGAGTGGCTCCGTGGTTAAGAACACTGGCGGCTCTTCCAAAGGACCTGGGTTCGATGCCAGCACTCCCATGGTTGGCTAACAACTATCTGAAACTCTAGTTCTAGAGGATTTGATGCCCTCTTCTGGCCTCCATGGGTGCTGCACACATGTGGTGCACGGACAAACATAGGCAAAACGTCCATTCACATCAAAAGTAAAATTAAAAAATAAAAATTAATCTAAAAAAAGAAGTCACCAAATGCTACACACCAGCCTTTTTTTTTTTCCTTTCCTCAGACAGACTGCTGTAAACATTGATTGGCACATTAATATATACTACAGTGGAAACTGAGGCTCTGCCTCCCTTCACTGAGTGTCTTATCCTTGATGCGGACCTGCTCACAAATTCTTAGAAATCAAAGATTACAGGAAATCTCAAAGAACATCTTGTTTTCTCACATGGCTTCTCCTTTAGTCCCACCATGGGATAAGAAGTAGTATTCTCCATGTCTCATTACTATTCTTTCCTATTTACAATCCCTTGGCCACACGGCGATTTGATTATTCTTGTTAATTCTTGCTGGGGTCAAATCCCAGCTCTGTGTGCCACCGTGAGTAACAGGATTTAACGGTGTTGGTTTTTTGTCATCTACAAAACAGAGAGGACAATGGGACGCAATGCAAAGATGAATGGACTGTGGGGAGCCCAGCTCCAATGGATCCATCTGCAGAACAGCTCCTGAACCTAGGGCTCAGGGAACCCTACAGAGGAGGGCATGAGGAGGTGTAAAGGTTGTAAGAGTCCGAATACCAGGAAGACTGTTGTGTGACTCTTAGGACTACATCAGGAAGACCAGAACCATGAAATATCAATAGACATGCGAACATGGAAGGGGGCAAACCTCACAGAAATCCCACCCCTAGACAAAGAACTACAGGGAACTAATGACTGCTGAGAGAGTATTAGCCCCACCCAGATTTGAGCCCCTGATTGGTTACCCAATATAAGTAGTCAGCCCTGAAACTGTACAAACAAAAAGCAAAAACGAACTCAGCGGGCTGTGTTTATATACTTGTCCATATGTCTGTAACAATAATAAAGAAAAAGAGGCTATCAAGCTGAGAGTGAGGAGGAAACATTAAAGGGGTTGAAGTGAGGAAAGGGTAGGGAAGAAATTATGTAATTATATTTCAATTAGAATTGTAAAATAAATAAATAAAAATACAGATGACCGTAACAATGTCCCCTCACAATTTTGTTCTGAGGGCTAAGTGAGTTAATGC